CTGTAAACAAACAGTAATCTTGGCACCTCTTAAGTCTTAGGTTGTACTGTGCATGGTACTCTCTGCTCTGGACAGACAGGTGTGTGTGTGTGTGTGTGTGTGTTAAGGAGGGGAGTGTGAGCTGTCAAACACTCCAGCAGCTGTTCCACAAGCAACCCTCCCCCTAAACACACACATACAAACCTTCTCAAACTGAAAGCAACAGGAAGCACCAGGGAGCCAATGTCTACAAAACAGTTGTTCCATCCTTTTTTTAAGTCCTTCACAAATGACAGCAGATGAATCAACACAAGAAAAAAAAAGATTTTTTTTCAAAACAATCTCAGGACGACTGGACCACACACAAAAGAAAACTGGAGTCTCCAAACCTACAAGGACAAGCATATAGTGTAGATATTCCATGCATTGTTATGTTGATTCTCATAAGGTGCGTTCACATTAGTGACATTTTGGCAAAATGTCATGGGCATAATTATAAAGGCCCACAGCTCACACAGAAGTCACTTTCAAATCAAGCTGTAGCACTTTATTTTACAGTCCTGTTCCCCATGTGCATACTGTGTACTTATTATAGCAATTACAATAACTGGGTGATAACTATAGGTACCAACCCTTAACCTACCCCTCAACCAGCCCGATCTCACGGCAATTTTTTACGAATTTTACGAGGTGGCTAATTTGAACTAATTCATACGACCTCACTCGTACAAATTCGCACGATTTTTCGTACATATTACGAGTTACCAAATTCGTATGAATTCGTACGAATGACCTACCCCTGACCCCGCCCCTAAACCTACCCATCACGTGGGTTTAGACAAATCGTACAAATTCGTACGAGTGAGGTCGTATGAATTAGTACGAATTAGCCACCTTTTAATCACTTGTACGAATTCGTACGAATTGGTCGTGAGATATCGTTGCCTCAACCTAACGTTAACCCATGTAGTTATCTTACATTTACCCAGTGCTTTATTGTGTAAGTACACTTTAAGTACACATACTGTAAAATAAAGTGTTACCCAAGCAGCTTTCCAACGCTATCTCACGACCAATTCGTCCGAATTTGACGAGTGATTAAAAGATGGCTAATTCGTACGAATTCGTACGACCTCATTCGTACGAATTGTCTAAACCCACGTGATGGGTAGGTTTAGGGGCGGGGTCAGGGGTAGGTCATTCGTACGAATTCATACGAATTGGGCAACTCATCAAATATGTACGTTTTAGCAAAAATCGTACTAATTCGTACGAGTGAGGTCGTACGAATTGTTACGAATTAGCCATCTTTTAATCACTCATCAAATTCGGACGAATTGGTCGTGAGATCGGGTTGAGCTTTCTGATGGCGAACACAGCGAATCTTCATGATCAACTTGATCCCGTTGCAAAATCTGCATGATGAAATCTTTCACTATCAAGGAACGGTCACAACGATTTACGCAAAATTCCTGATCGCGTGGAATCCTCTTGAAATTACTGCATTTGACAACTGTTTGACGTCTTTTCGGACAAAATCAGTCCAAAACAAAGTTTGTTTGGAGTTTGTTTGGACTTTGTTCCTGGAGTTTGACTGGTTCGCTCTGACTGGTAAACACCTTCGAACTACCAGTGGTCCATGGCGATTACATAACTTTACGATTACATATTCATCAGCAGTGTTGCGATAACAATATACCGCTGCTCTGGTAACTTATTTTGACCTCTAAGCAAAGAACGGTAAGAGCATTTTACCGTGAGTATATTGAGGCCTTTATTCTTCGAGGTTCTGAAGAATTCGTAAATGTCATGTTCTGTTTACCAACTGAAAAGACACATTCAGAGTGAATGTCTACATGAGGAAAACACAGTAAGTGTATCTATGCCATACAAGAGAGAAGAAGAAGAAGAGAGAGAGAGAGGGTGGTGACAGGTTATTCCTGTGAAGCTGGCATGAGTTCAGCTCTACGCACATAGAACGAGGTCACAGAGACGGCGTGGATCCAGCATTCCAGACTCCACTATGAAATGTCTGGCTCTCACCCAGACTTTATTCGTGATTGCGTTTGACACAGACCGCTCAATCCCCCATCCATCAAATTGCATGTATGGCACTGGTTATTGATTGCTGATAGAACCAATACTATTTGAAGGTCTTATTGTGAGTACTAACTGGCAACAAATGTATTGTATTTAGTTTTCCTGACTTGGGGTTGTTCCTTTGAATGTCTAACACATAGAAATACACGTTACTGAATGTCAGTTCTGCAAGACATTCAGAGCATATGATGAACGATGGGAGCGGTTAGTAGGACACAACATGGCTCACATCATAATTATGTAATGAGCTATTTATAAAATGTGAGTGACAGTGTCAAAACATTGCTTAGTATTGGCTATCTGATTAAGCCTTTTCTGAAATCTGATTAAGCATTCAACAAATCAGAGGATGAAATGCATCGAGTTTCAGAGGGCCACAGAAAGATCTAGCTGGCAACAAGCAACATATATCCCATGACAGGACCAGACGGCGTTACCATCCAGAGAATGTGACCCTAGAATAATAATGTTTCTCCGCTCAACGGAAACCTCGGCTCATCTGAAGACTTACGACCTTCAGCTTTCCGTTTTAAGCATCTAATAAGCACAAGAGGTCCTTAAAGGGCAAAGGAGTCGCATCTACATTTCAAAAGAGAGATGTGACGGAAACCATTTGCATACGATTAGCAGAGGAACATTGTGAACAAAAGATTACTGTAATTTTGGAACATTTTGGAGATGCCCTCAACGGGAATGTTAAACACACTTTTTGAAGTGCGAGTGGATTACTGGAAGGAAGAGCACCGAGAGAAACAGCAAGTAGATTAAGCACAACTGCTCGCCCCTTACAGGCTGTTTTGCTTCTAAAAGGGATTAAAGTTTACTGTAAGTTCAAAGCGAGTGTATTGCAGAGGAAAGCGAGCTGTGAAGACTGAATATTCTGGTTGCACTTCACTTACATTGCAACAAAAATATGAAGAATATTATTGATGATTATGAACCTTTTTTTGGGAGCTTGTTGCAAACATTCGCACACGTGCGGTTCGAACAAATATCAAGGTTATTTTGGTAGCAGCCAAATCACCCTTAACACAACCACGAGTTCAAATAGAGGAAACATTAAGCCCCTGCCGGCTGACAGATGCTCAGACAGAGAATGTTGGGGATTATGCAAAAAACAGCACGTTACATCACTCAGTAGTCACATGAATTTAACATCATGAGGGGGAACGTTCATTACTGATATGGACACTGGTGCAAACGAACATTGAACAATGGAAATCCAGACACAGCAACATACTTTCTTTTGACCCCTATAAATCCAGAAATGGGGCGAAATGCTGATACAGGAGAGAGGAGGTGAACTCAGATAACGCCGCAACTCAGCAATTTTGGGTTAAACACTTTAATACGGTGAACACCGGAAATGGTCGTTGACGTGACTTCCACAGTCCCTATTTTGAAATCCTCTATTCATCATTTTAGCTCCGCTAACCTAAGGGTGTGGGTCTTTAACATGGATTTTCAAAGTTGCTGATGTGGTACCACAGGTTTGTAAAATGTTCTTTGAACCTCTCCTATGAAACCGGCCTATCAGAAACAGAGCAGCTCCCTATAATAAAATGCATCTTAATCATTGCCTCTAAAAGGGTGATGACTCTCGAGCCAAATAAAGTCTCATTAAGTGTCTTTGATATACAGTGCCAGTTCTATTCACGTAATAAAGCAGACAGATAACCCTACATGAGTTTTGCACTCTGCCTTTTATCTTGCTAAAGCTCAAACACTTCAGCTATGATATAAATGGAGACAAATGGCAGGGACACGTAAGATGAAAGGGTTGGCCTGAATGGGGGATGGACGACAAAACAGCACAATTGCATTTTGGGCATCCTGTATTGTCTATTGTGATTTCAGGATTTCACTCAAATTGAATTTGCTCAAATGATCATTCTCCCTAATACATTTCTATTATCAGTCCCCTTTATATAGGTATACTGTTTTTCTTTAAATTCCATTCAAAGACTAACGATTTAGTTTCAAAGTCAAGTCATTCAAGTTATCCTAATGCAGTGATATTAAACTGTATTATATAAAGAGAATGATAGATGGACAGATAGACAGACAGACAGACAGACAGACAGAGAGACAGAGAGATAGATAGATAGATAGATAGATAGATAGATAGATAGATAGATAGATAGATAGATAGATAGATAGATAGATAGATAGATAGATAGATAGATAGATAGATAGATAGATAGATAGATAGATAGATAGATACTGTATTATATAAAGAGATAGATGGATAGATAGATAGATAGATAGATAGATAGATAGATAGATAGATAGATAGATAGATAGATAGATAGATAGATAGATAGATAGATAGATAGATAGATAGATAGATAGATAGATAGATAGATAGATAGATGGATGATTGGAATTGTAGAAATTTTTACTATTCCTTTTCTGATATGTAATGAGAATTATACAATTCAAATACATTATAAAAGTATTAATGTCTAGGCACATACAGAAACGTAGGCCTACAGCAAATACAGTGTTTTTTTTTTTTCAATCAAATGTATTTTTCTTTCGTTTATTCCCTGTTTCAAAACTCTCGTTTTCCTCAGAAACCTCAATCATCATTAAGTGCAAACGGTGAGTTATCTGTCGTTTAAAGAGAAGAAAAAATCTCTTATCGCCATATCAGTTTTATTTAGCTTGTAACGTGCAGATTTAAGGGATGACATCTTAACAAATGTGATTAATAATGACGTGCTGAAAATCGTGGAATACCATCACTCGCCCCCCCTCTCGCGACGCCTCCCCGCGTCTCTTCCCATACATGGGCTCGGGACCGAATGCCTCACGGGGGTGTCTCCTCTCCGCGCCCTTCCATTCATGGCCACTCCACCCTCAATGGCGCTCGGCATACCAAATAAGGAGAGGGAAGTCCAGCGGGCGCCGGGCGATTCGTGGAGTATAAATTGGCTGCTTCTCAAGGCGGTGTCTATTCACTCTCCAAGGGAACCAGCTCCTGGTGCTGATTTGGTAAGCACAGCTAAAGCTTTCAGAAATGTCAGACTTCATTTAATGGGATGATCTTCTGAACGCCAGGATTTAAACTAGGCCAGTTCTGCTGCAATGTCGCTGGAATTATAATGAAAATAATTGACTCTTGAGCTAAACAAACATTTCAGAGGCTTAAGAGTTGCCAGTTAATAATACTTTGCTGACTTTGAGTTTCAGAAATGTTGTTAGGCCTTATGTTCTTATTTTTGAAACTTTGTCATGAGGATAAGTTAATCAAAGATGAGCATGTTCGCATCTCTTGAGGTACTGAACTACACTCTTTAAAAAAAAAAAGGTTGCAAAGTGCAGTTTTCACAGCGATGCCATAGAATAACCATTTGGGGTTCCGAGTGAAGAAATAACCTTTTTCTACTATTAAGAACATTTTGTGCAATGGAAAGATTCAATGGATGTAAACGGTTCTTCATGGAACCATATGCCAACAAAGAATGTTTATTTATAAGAGTGTATTAGAAGAATTTTAGATGGGATGGTGGTCTATTCTGAAGAGAATGCTTGAGCCTGGCAGGAATGCAAATGACTTCAATGTTCGCAGCATGTTCAGATATGTTTCTGATCCTCATATAGAGCCCCAGCTGACACCATGTGTGACGACGATGAGACCACCGCTCTTGTGTGTGATAATGGCTCCGGCCTGGTGAAGGCTGGCTTTGCCGGAGATGATGCGCCTCGCGCTGTCTTCCCCTCCATCGTTGGTCGTCCTCGCCATCAGGTACAATCACGATATTTAGCTCTAACAGTAGAGAACACAAGAACTAGGATACTTTAAGTTAAATGTTGGATAAAAGCATCTGCCAAATGCATAAATGTAAATATAAAACAGCACCCAGACAGAAACATAGTGTCGGCCCAGATCCGGCCCACATCTGGACCGGGTGGAATCCACATGTACTAGATGAGGGCCAACACTATGTTGCCTTCTGGGTATGTACTAAACTATTGCTATCTTCTCTTCCCTAACAGGGTGTCATGGTAGGTATGGGACAGAAAGACTCCTATGTGGGTGATGAGGCCCAGAGCAAGAGAGGTATCCTGACCTTGAAGTACCCAATTGAGCATGGTATTATCACCAACTGGGATGATATGGAGAAGATCTGGCACCACACCTTTTACAATGAGCTGCGTGTGGCCCCCGAGGAACATCCCACCCTTCTCACTGAGGCTCCTCTTAACCCCAAGGCCAACAGAGAGAAGATGACACAGGTGAACTTGCTTGAACATTCCCAAATATTTGCACATTCAATGACTCCACAAACTTAAAAAGACAGTTCACCCTAAAAATGAACTCATTTACTCACGCTGTTGTCGCAAATATTACAAATGTCTGGCTTCCATTCGTTTGCAGATCATGTTTGAGACCTTCAACGTTCCTGCCATGTATGTGGCCATCCAGGCTGTGCTGTCACTGTACGCCTCTGGTCGTACCACTGGTGAGTGTTGTTTGCGAATACATCCTTCGTTCATTTTAGGTTTCTCTGGAACCTTAAACATTTTTGTTGTTTGTAGGTATTGTGCTGGACTCTGGAGATGGTGTGACCCACAATGTCCCCATCTACGAGGGCTACGCTCTTCCCCACGCCATTATGCGTCTGGATCTAGCCGGTCGCGACCTGACCGACTACCTGATGAAGATCCTGACTGAGCGTGGCTACTCTTTTGTGACCACTGGTATGAATAAACTATGGCGTCTTACTGAATTGCTGCCTTACATTTTTAAATACAATCAACTTGGATGTTTAAGTCATTTCAACTTAAATTACATTAAACTGATTTTTAGTTGAATCTTGAATGACTCTTGAATGAAAAAAGTTGAAAATTGCTTAACTTATTTTGATGATTTAAAGCAATGTAAAAACATGTTGTTACAACTTATTGATCATATACTTTTTTTTACAAAGTGAGTGATTAAACCATATATTATAATATATTGTTAACACTGGGATTTCATTATCACAGCTGAGCGTGAGATTGTGCGAGATATCAAGGAGAAGCTGTGCTACGTCGCTCTGGACTTTGAGAATGAAATGGCCACTGCTGCTTCCTCCTCTTCTCTGGAGAAATCCTACGAGTTGCCTGATGGCCAGGTCATCACTATCGGGAATGAACGTTTCCGTTGCCCCGAGACCCTCTTCCAGCCTTCTTTCATTGGTGGGTGATATAATATTAATTTTACCAGTGTCAAAGTGACATCGTTTTCAGCTAAAAACACATACTTTTTATGCGTTTTGGCCGTTCATTTACACGACAACATCGTTTTGGGGGCCTGAACATGCAAACTAATGAAAACTCGTTTCAAAGTGCACGTGTTCAGTCTGTAGGCGCGTAGTATTTCTTTACAACATGGCATCGCCAACTACTGGCCTGGCATGATAATACAGCGTTTTTAGTCATTTTCAGGGATCTGTGTGAACGTTATCATCTCTACGTGAAAAACGCAAAGGAAAAACCTTTCCGTTTATAGTAGGCCTACATAGTTGCCCAGACAGCAACAGTGTCGGCCCAGATCCGGGCCGCATCTGGTACATGTGGATTCGACGCTTACCAGATGTGGGCCGGATCTGGCCCGACACTATGTTTCTGTCTGGGTGTAATGTATAGTCACATCCAAAGATTTGCATGCTGCTGGCAAAAATTAAGCTACACACATATTTTCTTTTATTTTTAGCTTTATTTTTCATAGTTTTCACTGCTTCTTTTGCCTACCAAAGGTATGGAGTCTGCTGGTATCCATGAGACCACATACAACAGCATCATGAAGTGTGACATCGACATCCGTAAGGACTTGTACGCCAACAACGTCCTGTCTGGTGGCACCACCATGTACCCAGGTATCGCTGATCGTATGCAGAAGGAGATCACAGCTCTGGCCCCCAGCACCATGAAGATCAAGGTCGAATATTTATTCAGTCAATTCAGCTTTCCGGTCTTATTTTATTGTTGTTGGATTTGTAATAATCACGTGTCTTCTTTCTCCAGATCATCGCTCCCCCTGAGCGCAAGTACTCCGTCTGGATCGGTGGGTCCATTCTGGCTTCCCTGTCCACCTTTCAGCAAATGTGGATCAGCAAGCAGGAATACGATGAGGCTGGCCCATCCATCGTCCACAGGAAGTGCTTCTAAGTGCCAGGGGACCCATATTACACTGATTATGGATGCAAAAAACTGAAATCCTCAACATTACCTCCGCCTGTTATGCATGCAGGCATTTTTGCCTGTATTTTTCCTTGTACAGTATGTTTACACCAAAAGTGCAATTTGTTTGTAGTTTATTTACTGGTTCAGAACAAAATTTGTATGTGAATATTTATTGGTTTTTAAATAAACAATTTTCCTCCAGAAGCATTTTGAATTTAGCACAAGACATGCTTTGCTCGTTAAAACAGCACAGGTCTGCATAAAAGCTAGCTGTGATGGATTCATATTTGCGACTTCAATTAGCACCCAGTTTAAAATAGCTGCCGCTCTCTAGGAGGCGAAGTGAGATCAGAGGAGAACGCAGCGCATTGTCAAGATGCCCTCTTCAGGCTTATGAGAATATTTATTTTTATCGTACCTGCGCTATAAATATATGCAAACATTGCTTGCCCGTCAGTTTTACAGTCTCAACTCCTAGTTGAATTCTGGGAGGGATATCCCATGCTTGTCATGAATTGTTTTTATCTCTCCATCATCCTAGTGGGTTGTCCTAAAGCGATTACTCACCGCTGTAAGTTCACCAACAGGCCTTTACCACAAATAGATGTTTGATTACCCTTCATCACCTGCAGGAGAGTGCAAGCGAGGGTTATGGAACTGTGCTTGATGTAAAGAGTTCAGATTAACCAGGCAGCAGAACAGAAAAAGTATAGCATTGTAATTTTAAACAGTGTGTGCGAAAATACAATGAATACTTTTCGGGGCGCAATCAGTCTCGCGCAACACCCGTTGCAATTTTACGCCTCTGGCTAAATGTCGTCAAAACACATTTTAAAGTTATTCTTTCGTGATGTAAATCTATTATGCATATATGTAATAAATAATATATGATATATAAATAAATTAAATATAATTACAGTGCTTGTCGTGCTTTATAAATCGCTATGTGAAGCGCGTGTGCGGAAACTACTTACATTTAGACTTTCTTTCTTTGCGGGGTTTCAAGCCTTTTAATTACCCCTCACGATTTGCGCCCTGTTTAATATCGAGCGCGCGCGGGCGCGCACACTAAACTCTAATCTGCTTCGGACTCCCATCCTGTCACACTAGTGGGTGTGTGTGAGCCGGAGACAGACATCCCCAGTGATTTGAGTTTATCACCACTGATTTTATTACGGATTAATCAGTGCATCTCTGGCATATTCGGAGAATAATGAAACGGAGAAATCCTGCTGTTCTGATTTCTCTCCGACAACCTGTCTGCGCGTGACGCAGGGGGGAGGAGGAGTGGGAAGTCTACTTAAAGCGGGATTAGCACGAGCCAAACATTATACTCCCCTCCGTTTAGACTCAGAGCGACCTATCGTCCTGCTCGCGAGACAGAAAATATGAGGGCTTTAGACTAATTAGGACCTCAGACTAGGGCGCGCGCTCCGGAGCGAGGCGTGGACGACAAGGCGGACTGGACAGCAGCGAATCAATGCATTCACCCGATACCACACTCGCCTTTAGAGCGATAGACGCGGAACACTAGCTCGCATTTGATTTCACAGGGTCCTCTGTGTTACCGTCTCCGAATGAACATGGGGGAATGGACAATTCTCGAGCGTCTCCTGGAGGCGGCTGTCCAACAGCACTCTACTATGATCGGGAGGTGAGGGAAAAAAAGTGGAAAATGTTTATTGATTGCTTAGTACTTTAAAAATAAAATAAAAACATTGAGGTCATTACGCATTGACCCTTCTGAATAAGGGCGATTGGCCACTGGAACTTAATGTACCCTGCACTGGCAAGGACAGAAAAGCGCTCAAATAATTGAGATAATGCTTTTTGTTGCTGTTGTTACTGCACATTTTGAAAAACGAAGCTTTTGTGCCATCGGTAAGATTACTGTTCCATGTCAGATCGTATATGCTTTCAAAGAAATGTTGTGCGCGCCCTGACTTGATGCGCGCATTTGCCTGTGGAGAGAGTTTCAGCACTGGACAGCTCCCCGCGTCAATCTGCACAGCCAATGAATGTACAATGATACAGTAAAAAAAAAAAAAAAACCTGTTAGCTGTAAGTTACCATATTATATACAATAAAAAAAATTAACAGACATTACATGTAATTTTACTGTGAAATACTATAAAGTGACAATCTGGGTTATATTCGACTCGATGATAAATGTGTCGAAATCAGTAAAAAGGACGTTGCCAGAAGTCACGTTTGAGTGTTTTATGTTACATGTGATGTTATTTGGTTATTGTACATATCCTATTTCAGTACTTTGTTTATGTTTTGTGTGGGTAACACTATATGCTGAACGCTACTGTTTGTGTCCGTTTAATGAAATGAGTTCATTATGTGCTCATCTGTTTAACGTGTACTAAGCAAAGAACAAAACATTGTACAAATTTAGTTACTGGAATATTTGATCATTATCAGTAGCATTCATGAAATATGGTTAGGACTGCCAGTTTTTAATAGTAAATTTAACAGGACGTTTTCAATGAAATATTTGGTTTCTCGTTTTTTTGACTTGACTACTGGAGCAGATACACACTATGAACTTCAAATATCTCTTTCTTTGTCTCTTAAGGATCCTACTGACAGTGGTGGTGATCTTCCGGATTCTGATTGTAGCAATAGTTGGAGAGACCGTGTACGACGACGAGCAGTCCATGTTCGTGTGTAACACTTTACAGCCGGGCTGCAACCAAGCTTGCTATGACAAAGCGTTCCCTATATCTCACATCAGATACTGGGTGTTCCAGATCATCATGGTATGCACTCCCAGTCTGTGCTTCATCACATACTCGGTGCATCAGTCGGCCAAACAGAAGGAGCGCAGATACTCCATGGTCTACCTGTCCCTCGACAAAGATCCCGAATCGATGAGACGAGACGACAGCAAAAAAAACAAAAACACCATCGTGAACGGAGTACTCCAGAACACCGAAAACTCCACCAAAGAATCCGAGCCCGACTGTTTGGAAGTGAAAGAGATCCCTCATTCGGCCATGAGAACTACCAAATCTAAAATGAGACGGCAAGAGGGCATCTCCAGGTTTTACATCATTCAGGTGGTTTTCAGGAACGCGCTGGAGATCGGCTTCTTGGTGGGGCAGTACTTCTTGTACGGATTCAACGTGCCCGCCGTGTACGAGTGCGACCGGTACCCTTGCATCAAAGACGTCGAGTGCTACGTCTCGAGACCCACGGAGAAAACCGTGTTCCTCGTCTTCATGTTCGCGGTCAGCGGGATTTGCGTGGTGCTCAACCTGGCGGAACTCAATCACCTGGGCTGGAGGAAAATTAAAACGGCGGTGAGGGGGGTGCAGGCCAGGAGGAAGTCCATATATGAGATCAGAAACAAGGACTTGCCCCGGATGAGCATGCCTAATTTCGGCCGCACCCAGTCGAGTGACTCTGCCTACGTCTAATGCTGTCTTCATGCGGTGCTCAATCCAGGTCCAGGAAGACCCCAGGTTGCACGTTTTGGATGTTTCCCAAATCCGAAACACCCATTTCAATTCTCGGAGCCTGATCGTTTACTGACCCTCATGTCGTTCCAAACCAGTATGACTTTTTTTTTTTTTTCTTCTGTGGAACACAAAAGAAGATGTTTGCTTTGTCCATGCAATGAAAGCCGACAACATTGGACCCCATTAACGCCACTGAGAATTATTAATTTTTTGCTTTTGTGTTCCACAGAACGACATCAGGGTGAGTTAAATGATGGCTCCATTTTGCATCTAAAATGTGCAAAAAAACTGATGAATCACGGCGTTAGATTATATACAAGAGAAGTTATTGTGAACCGTTCATCTCACCGGTTTCATGGTGGGGTAGATGGATATTATTAGTCTGTTATTATGGACAACCAGAACAAATGGACCAATTTGTTCCTTATCAGTTACTCAAGGGCACTGATGCAACTTTTTTATCGGTCAGAATGGAACGCTTATGGCGATTGTTTATTTATTTCTTCATTCACATGATCAGTTGAACCCCAAATATGTTTTGCACTAAATATGGATTTTAAAGAAGCCAAAACGAACCCGAATCGTGCTGTGAAGGTCTTTTTGTTTTATTATACTGTATTCTCATTCTGGTTTTAGATTGCACATATGATAGTTTCAGTTTACTCACCGCAACTAGATAGACCGCAGTTCATATATGTTTATCCATACTATATAAATCATATCTCTCTTAGATAGACTGGCATCTTTAATGATTTGGTTGCCTGTGCTTGCACCACTGACCTTAACGTAAGTTATCGTTTCGTTATATTTAAGCTGACTTGCAGATCGGTGAACTGGCCAATGCTGCAGAACGCTTAACTGTCTATCTTTTTGTATTTATTTATTTATTTATGTATTGGATTGATTTTTATTTATCTATTTTTTGACACCAAAGCGCCCATTGCTTTCATTTGTGTGAAACAGATATATTGCTTTTATGTATTCAAGTGCCATATATGTACATAGATATATACATATTATAGTATATTGTAATCCTTATCGTGAGATATGAATTCCACAAACTCGTTGTGTGGACTGCTTTCAAATGGACGTCCTATCCCTTTAATGTGAGAGGTCGGGGAATGGGGGAAAAAGAAACCATCCATACATATTTTGCATTCCTGAAAAGTATATTACATTTGGAAAACACAGTTGATCGGAAATCAGTGAATGAGGGGTTGAGATTCATTTCCCCTGGTGCTTCTATTTCTCAAAAACAAAAATGATGTTGGCAACAATGTGAGATTAAAAAAAATTCTAATAATAAATGATGGAATTCATGACTAAAAAAAAAAGCTGTGTGATTTGCATTGCTTTAAGATTTTTTGGGGGATTTTTATTCTAAAGCATCAGCAAAAAGTGCCATTTTCCTAAGGGATTGACGTCCCTGTCATCTTCCCCATGAATCAACTTCCTGTCAGTTGAAATGCTTGCATGTATTATTATCTTTTTTTTTCTTTTTCTTTTTTGACTGGTTCAGCAACACAGTGCTTAAATTTGATCCGGGCGCCATAATTCTACCTGTCCAGCTTCAGTCATGCTGACACATTGACAGAGGCTTCCTCCCGGTCCGGTGCCCTGAACACAACATCACTGTACAGCAGAGGTCTGGTCCCTTGCAGATGTCACGGTGACCCCTGTGCCAAGGTCAGAGAGAAACTGCTGAACACTGCAGCCGGTGGCCTCACACCGGGATTTCTCTCTGCTGACAGACTGGGAGAGGCCTGAGACTCACAAAAGTGCCGACTCTCCAGCAGAGAGGGGGGGATCTTGGCCCGAACATCCTGACAGATCCTGACAGATCAATTTGGAATTCAGCAGGGACCTGAGATTCCTCTTTGACACAACACACACCGCGAAGGTCCAACCTGACAGGACATCAGTGGAGGCTGTTGCTGTGTGTGTGTGTGTCTTGTACAGTTTCACTTTGTCCCCTCCTACCCTGAGGGTATTGTTTATTTAGTCATTAGTTCCTTCCCCTCGCTGAAAAAGTCAGAAAAAGTCCTACAAATCTTCTTCTTTGATGAATCTATCCTGCTGTACGGCAGACATAAAAATATGATAAAATAACTCAATTTACATTGTTTTTAAAACTTTGCTCAGCTAAATAATAATATATTTGTATTAAGGCAATTTAGAAAGTTTATTAACACTCTAGTGCATCGGATAACAAAATATCAGACCATGTGGAATTCATTTTAAAAGAACAATAGCACAAACACACTTTATGCAAAAACATTTACAAAAAAAAAGTTTGTCAGGGTAAAAAAAAATATATATATATGTTATTATAATGTTTAAATCATTAGAATATAAATTAAAAGAATAAAATAAAATAAAGTATAAATTTTAACCCGCTTGCCCTTTATTGGGTTGCAGGTAATTAGTTATAATATATGAATTATAATATAATATGCATTATATAAACTACAATTATTAATATAATAAAATAAAATAAAATATAATATAATATAATATAATATAATATAATATAATATAATATAATATAATATAATATAATATAATATAGTATAATATATAACTTTGTGGACATGTTCATATGTAAAGATCTGTGATTTTTCAAAATACCTAAAATATACTTTTTTATCAAATTTTGTAGAACTTCATCATAGTTAATTTAATTATTTAATAAATAATTCAAATAATATACAAACTTGAATATAATATAATATAATATACAAACTTGAATATAATATAATATAATATAATATAATATAATATAATATAATATAATATAATATAATATATAACTTTGTGGACATGTTCATATGTAAAGATCTGTGATTTTTCAAAATACCTAAAATATACTTTTTATCAAATTTTGTAGAACTTCATCATAGTTAATTTAATTATTTAATAAATCATTTAAATAATATACAAACTTGAAACTTGAATATAATATAATATAATATAATATAATATAATATAATATAATATAATATAATATAATATAATATAATATAATATAATATAATATAACATAACATAATATAATATAATATAATATAATATAATACAATATAATATATAAAACGTGTGGGTATGTTGATAGTTAATGTAAAGAGTCACTAAACTTACCAAGAAAACAGTTTGAAACCACTGCAAAATTGTCCTTTCAAAATGGCTAATAATAAAAATTTTGTAGAAAAGCTAGCATGTTTTTTTTTTTTTTGCAGATGCCATTTGGTTTGATCATTTGAATCTAACACACACACAAAACAAAAACAAAAATTAAGTGTGCCTTCAAATATTTATAGAATTTATGAATTGTCTTATTTATTGCTATGTTAGACTATATATACATCAAGTCCCAAAACAAATGAATTAGCTACATATTAACATTTCAGATGTGGAACATTTAAGCAATTCAAAGGATTGTGTGTTGGTTTATTTTTAGCTCTCAGTCAGACTCAGTACTGTGCGATGCTTAGAAAGCATTTCGAAAAATTCAAGCTCAATGTACTGGCACGAGCTATAATTCTCTAAAGCAGGTTAGGGAATGCTGATGCTAAGAACCCCCGAACACCCCTCCACCCCTCATCTATGAAGCTTAATAAAAGATTAAGGCAAAAGTGCGCCAATGCAAACCTTGATGGAAGCGTCCTTGAGCTTCAGTACTGAGGAATACATGATTACTGTTTATCAGTTTATAATATACTGCTAGACTCTCGCAAAAATAAACTGTACTAACTCATGCAAAGTGCTGTGTAATTGTTAAAACCCACAGTCATATGTCTATAAGGTTCTGTGTATAAGGTGATTCAGGCAACAAACCAATCGGACGTCCACTTATGATCCAGGGGCCGTGACTGGCCATCAGGGTCTCATTAGACATGAGAGACATGAGCCCATCCAAGTATTATATTATAACCAAAACACTTCACGGTATCTGCAATAGAGTTCAAACGTGTCAATGTGCCCAAACCATCGACTGAGGCATCCGAAAAGCCTGTCTGGTCTGAGATCCTGTCATCAGCCGTCAGTCACAGGGATTTCCGGCAAAGTCATCGGAATCACAAAGTCACAGTCAGCAAGAACAGCTGACGAAACACAACAGCGAGAACAACACAGGCATTTTTGTCCATGTATGAAGTCCCCACAAGAAACAATGCGCTCAAAAGAATACACTGCGACACACTTACTAGAAACAGACATTTTCTTTCAATTTTCTTTCCTATGTGGTAAAAATAGCTCCGAAGTGGCTTAGTGGTTAAAGAGCTGGACTAAAAACCCAAAGGTTGTGGATTCTAAGGCCAGACGGGGCAAATCATAAGCTCCCACCATTGTGTCCTTGAACAGGACACTTAATCCCAGGTTGCCCCAGGTGAAGCCTTCTAAGATAGACTGCTCTGTTGTTTCTTCCTACTGTGAAGAAAGAGTTTGATGTTGTTAAGATGGGGTGTCCAGTCCTGCTCCTGGAGGGCCTCTATCCTGCAGAGTTCAGCTCCAACCCCAATTCAACAAATCAAGTCACCTTTGTCTATACAGCTCTTTATACAATACAGATTGTTTCAAAGCAACTTTACAGGGATAAACAGGAAAATAATGAGTCAATGATGCAAACAGAATTCAATTCTGCTGTAAAGCAGCTCTTAAAAGACAATAATAAACAGTCATTATTTCGGTTCACTGTGTAAAGTACATCAATTATGAAATGAGTTAATTTCATCTATAAAGCAGTTCTGGATAAACAGTGATGTCATCGTCAAGCTCAGTTCAGTTCTTATCCTATGGTGTCAGTTCAGTCAAATCAGTAATAGTTGAATATTAAGTATCCACAGCTAAGCAAACCAGAGGCGACAGTTGCGAGGAACTCAAACTCCATCATGTGACAGAATGGAGAAAAAAAACCTTGGGAGAATCCAGGATCAGTCGGGGAGCCAGTTCTCCTCTGGCCA